AAGGCCATCAAAAACAAAACTTCTAAAAAAACAAGTCTCGCAACTCAGCTCTTCTACCGTAAAAAGTTGTGAGATCCATGTAATACCAAGTCGGTTACTTTATTAAGTCCCAACTTAAGGGACCTTCTGTCTTAAGTTATTACGTAATTAGCTAACCTAACAACATCATAAAGTGACCATATCCATATTATTATTTTTTATGTTTTAAATAAAATAGATGGACTTGGCAATCACACTAAACAATCTTATTTAATATAATATGTATTACTTGTGAGATACGTTATGTTTTCATGCGATGGCCAAGTCACTCTATTTTATTTAAAACATAAAATATTTTTAATATTGATATGGTCACTATATGTTGTTGTGATCTGCGATATCGCAGTAAGACTCAAACGTTGCCTGGAAGAAAGAAGCCGCCTTTCTGTGACAGACGAGAAGCGTGGAAGCCGCGGCGCGGGCATGCCACCTCCGACGGCCGCGGTTATGATTATTATTGTTCTTTCTTTCATGGCAATTTTGGGCAATTTAGTCTACTTAATACGTTGCGGGATTTTGGTACAACTTCATAAGTAAGACATGTCCCATTCTTGCTTTTTCATTCCGTTGACCATTTTACAAGTTATCTAGGTTCCTATCTACACTTATTATTCCATTATATTATACATATACACGTACACTGATTCATTAACTGCAAATGTAACTTGTAATCCTATACATTTATATGGGATTAGAAAGTCATTTATGCAGTTCTATGTATCTCGAAAACTGGACCGAAATTACAAAATATTTTAGTTTTTCCTTGATTTTTACACTAAACACTAAATGTATTCTAAATTTGAAGCTCCTTTGTCACCTAGAAGTGCCTTAGAGTTCTGATGATTATCAGTGACAAAATTAAGAAATTTTGACTAGCTATAATTCTTAAACTACTAATTCAAATTCAATTCAAATTTGAAATATACCGTGTGTATACAAGCCTTTTTGGTTACTGAAAATTCAGGCTTCTAGTTTTATCCAGAACGAAGTTATAGGGGGTTGAAAATGGCCTGAACTGCTTCAAGAAAAGGATGACTTGGCGGGGACACTGCCATGTCCCCAGATACCTACGTTTTTAACCTTTAACCGCCCAAATCGAACTTATTCGTCAAAAATTTTCGGGCTCATTCCGCCTGAATCGTATATATGCGACTTAAATCCCTTTGTTTTTTTTAATAGTAATTTCTCGAATAGATTGTCTATCCAACCTTGTATTACGTCATATATGCAGACTTTTAATAACAAGTAACACGTAGAAAATTACTGTTCATAAATAGTAAATTTACTAATATTAGCTATGCGAAAGTGTATTGACTTGTAAAGCCCGTGTCGTATTTATCCAACAGTAGTGACGAGACATATACGTTAGAATTTTTAAGCTAAGGAATATGCCCAACTAAAAATATTGCATTAAATACTGAGTTATTAGCAAAAACTAAATGTAATTGTTATTTAATAACGTGTTGTGTACGTTGTACTGTGTAAATTAAATTCCTTAAGAAATAAGCTATTTAATTATTGATATAAGGACGACTATAGATGCAAATTCCCATCCCTAGACCATGTTATTTAAATCATTTTACGCCACTATAGCCATCGCCCGAGTCGGATAAACATGACCGCCTGTGACGACATAACCGAGGCTTTTGTGTTTTAATTTTAATAGTTTTAATCATTATTATTGATTGATTACTTGATTATTTATTTTATTGGACTTGTTATACCTAATAAGGTCTACTTGGCCGATATACTTTTGCAAAGAAGTACGCTTGGCTAAGACCACTAAAAATAAATACTCTGGTCTTTTTAACTGATTCTTAAGTGGCTTATAATTTGGTACGTGTAGGTAGTAAATCGTAAAAAATATTTAATCATAAACTATTGCTTATGATTCATTTTTAATAACAGCAAATACAAATAGCAATATTAGGTATTTATCGATATTATCGTAATGCACAACTGCACAACCCTCTTTATCGTAGGTAGGTATTTATTTTTGGATTTATGAGCTGGGCGTTGGGGGCACGCCAATTGTCAATCTAACTAAAGCTGGGAGGTTAAAAGGTTAATTCTATTTAAATTCAATTATTTTTGCTTGAATGTGTTATTTAAAGTCATGGCGTGTAAATCACTAATAATTTACATTACATCAGTCACAAATAAAATACAAAATTACTAACTAATTACAAATTACGTAACTTAAATTACCAATTAAATATACCTTTATTACGATATATCAATCATCAGACCAATTAATAACTCAATAATATTATTTGAATTTGTAATTTAAATATTCGTTAATAGAGTAGAAACGTCTGTCAACAACAAACAACTATCTGAACAAGTTGTCTTTTAAACTTTTTAATTGCGTCTTTGGGTAGGCGTTGTAGATGCGCAGACATTGCATAAATATTCCGACTAAATATTTCAGTACTTTAGGTACAATTGAACTACTTGTGTTTAACATTGTAAACAATAAGCGAAATCGATTCATCAGTAATTTAATACGTTTGCAACGATTTAACGCATTTTTGTGCGTTAAAAGACGATAGCCGCAACGTACTCGTAGTTATAACCTTACATCATCGCATTAAAAATGTGAGTAGAGGTACATACAGTCGTTCCTCAAATGGGATCGGTCGAGGTCATAACTATTCTATTGTAGCTCTCAGCGTGGTATTAAGATTTTCACACGATTATTGCGTTCTACACATATTTAAAGCACGAGTCATTTAATGAAAATCACTAGCAAACTGAAAGAGAAGAAACATATCCTTTTATTAGATTTACTCACACAACACGTAGCCTGTCCCTCGAGATTACATAACCCTTGATTTGTTTTGTACAACTCTCCTAGAAAGAACTGAAATGGTCACTTTACGTGGTCGTGTCTCAAATTCAAATAGCGACATGAGTTAGTGTATGTAATCATACTTTCCTTTTTCCCTGTGTGTTGCGAGCGCTTTCCTTTGCGACTGGTATGACTGATTGCTTATCGTTCAAATCGTAAGCATCTGTCCAGAGAACGGATTTAAAGCACTTCATAATATAATTTATAGTCCAGGAGCTGGTGAACCATTCACAAACTTGAAAAAAATAATAATGACGTTTTATTATTTGTCAATGAAGAAAGTACCATTCTGGCAGCGATCTTGCCATCATCGCTCAAATTTAAAAAAAAATACAAAAAAGAATATTTTAACCTACTCCCACGAACCTGAAAATTTTTATACGTTGTATATATACGCTGTATACAGCACAAGGTTTTTTAGATTATAAAATTACGTTATATGTACGTCATTATTAACCCTTACACATTATGTAACACCATCGCTTCTCCAACCTGTATGAGAGAATTAATCAATAGTGACATTTTTAAAAAAAGAAAAAAAAACTGACACAAATTAGGTTTACATAATATTATAAAGTTAACATAATAACCATGATATTATAAACGTTAATTTGAATTTGTCGTATCCGAGTGATCATCATCACTTTGTTTACACGTAGGGGTACAGGATAGGTGACAGGGTACCTTATTCCATGATATAAAATTAACTATTATCGAGGGATACAGCTATCCCTCATCTATTTAAGTCATTGGTTGACGCTAACAAAAGCCGCGAGCAGATAAATAATTTTAAATTATGAAATTTTCATCATAACTTGTCTTCTGGAATGTTTATTATGTCCATTTAATAAAATAGTAGTCTTGGTCGCTTCTTAAAACATCAGTAAGGTTTCTTCTTTGTTTTTGTTTATTTATATTATATATTGTTATAATACAAACACAGATATAAATTTAATAAAACACAACTTGTTATATCACCTTTTGCTTTATCTCTACAAATATTATAAGGTTGGTTATGAATATCATATTATATTGCAAGTAATCAAATAGTAGTTTTCAAGAGAGCAACAGTGGTATTACTAAATGTACTGGTACATAGATTTTGCCACAACACCGTTGAAAGATACACCGCCCGCCCGTGCCTTCGTTGATAATAATTATATTATTATAACGTATTTCAATTTGATATTTAAAATTTAAACGCGTAAATTATTAAAATCACTAAAAGTCATGTCACTCATACATTTTTACGGCAAGTTAACAGCAAAAGCTTAATACTGCAATATTTTTTTAATTCATAATGAGTTACATCCTTGTGACAGGCGATGAAGATAGAACAATACAGACTAGCCGCCATGACAAGGCTTCAGTATGTCAAACATCATGTCATGTCACGCAATTTGTGGAAGTGTTAAAAACTGAAGTTTTAAATCTAATTTATAAAATTCTCGTGTCACGGTGTTAGAAGTTGAACTCCTCCGAAACGGCTCGACCGATTTTCGTGAAATTTTGTATGCATATCGGGTAGGTCTGAGAATCGGCCAACATCTATTTTTAATACACCTAATTTTTTTTTAAATAATCAATATGGCAAAACAACGTTTGCGGGGTCAGCTAGTGGTTTATGAAATTAAATACCTACATTTATTAACTGCAACTGTCACTTTTCGATTGCTTCAAATATCCAACTACTTTGTTATAGTATTACATTAGATTCGTAGATTAAAATACGGATTCACTATCCCTCGGGAACACTTTTTTCAAGACTAAAGATACACTATGTCCCTTGTCTGAGCACTTGACAACGTGTATGACAAACTCACTTTCTCATAATATTAGAAAGGATTACAGCAGGAGAGGCATGCTTCAACAAAAATGGGCCGGCTCGACTGGAATCGGAGCTTCACTGAGTGAGTGAGGTTACGCCAGCCCAAAACACACCTCCCCCTATTTCTGAGGTGGAGGACTCAAAGGGCGACAATTTCGAGCGACAGTAGTCACTTACCATCAGGTGACCCGTCTGCCTATACCATAAACAATGTAAAATGTAATACATCTTAGTAAAAGAGTACAAGAATCGCGTGCGTAGATGTTAATTTGATATACTTACGTGTGAAGACACAGCTATTCCACTTGTTATAGCGTTAATTGGCCGCCAAATGTCAGGAGTCCCAGTCAAACCATTTTTCAGATCATTCTGAAATAATTTAGAATCAAAGTTCCAAGTCGCTGCCCCTACTGTTCTTCGTTTCTCCAAAATAGTCTTGTTTGCCATTGCCTCTGCTTTCGTCGATTTAAAACTACTAAAAGTTTTTTCGAAAAATCTAGTTTTTGATTTCGGCTCATCTTGATCGACCGCTTTATTTTTTGCGGTCTCGATTCTACTGTTTTTGCGTTTATCTATTTCTGGCTTCTGAGGCTCTAATAAAGCATAAATTGTAAGCGACAAAAAATGGCCGGCAAGTAAGCTTTGAAGGTCAGATTTTTCTGTCGACTTCTTAACATCTTTTTGTTTTAGTTGAAATTTAAAATCTTCATTCCATACTGGCCAAGAGCTTTCTTGAAGTGATGTTTCGAATCTACTGTCTCCAGGAAAGATTTTGACCTGAAATTATTAAAACACAATTATTAGATTATAAATGAGTATTTATACATAACTATATAAAATTTTGAAAACAGATACAGTTTATGCACTAAATCCAAATTACTAGTATCAGCAAATTACTTGTTTATTTTCAGTCCCTTCTTAAGTTCGAGTACATATATCATAAAGATCGTCAGGGGTCCTTAAGACTTACTGAAGTATCAAGAACATTTATAGCTAGAATACTGCTTTTACTAACAGGTATGTTACTAATAAAAATAGTCTTTATTTTGTTATCTCACACAGCATACACAATTCAAAAGACGTGAAGCAATACAAAATAAAATTTATAATTTTATTTAGTAAATCTGTATGGAAGACTGGTATCTGTACTAGGAGAACTGTATGACAGATTACCAGACTCTCCAGACGGACAGGTGGAGTGCTGTGTAATGTAGGTATATTATTTTATCACTAAGAACAGGTTGAGAGAAGGTAAGGTAAAGATTAGGGTAAAGTGAATTGTTGTGTGATTTGTGTGATGTGTGTGTAACAGACAGATAAATTTTCATTTGTAGTTTGACTTGGGTTAACATGACGAAATACGACAGCCTATTGATTACTTCAACCACTATTCACAATTCGGAGTTCAGTTGATTTGACCCAACCAATTTACCAATGAATTGAATTGAAATTAGCTTCGAGATCTCTCCACTGTTAGAGGAATAATAGAAACGTTAGTAGGGACCGGCCATATCTGTAAAGGATTTTGATGTTAAAGCTTTAGCCTTTTGAAAACTATGCTATTATTGACGAATTCGAGGCACTTTGAGAGTTAAGTTACAAATCAATGTCTTTAAAGAAGAAACCGACAGACTGCTGGGTCTGGAAGCATGAAATTTTACACAAATGTTCCTTAGGTGACGTTTAAAAATTCGTATTAGACTGAGATATAGTGCGGACAGATGAACTATGGTATGAAAAACTATGAGAGTAAAGTTTTTGCCATTTTGCCTACGGAACACTAAAAATTATATTTGATAAAATCATTTTTTTTATGAAATTTTACTGTTCGGGGATTGAATAAAGCAAAACACAACCGATAAATACCAATACCTATCATTCTAAAACAAATAATTACTTAATTGCGTTTTTTTCTTGTACAATTTCATTGTCTTTTAAGCGAGTAAACGACTAAAAATGAATTCTCTAATACACTGTTTTACAATGTTTAATATATCTGCTAATGTTGCTAGCTATCCTATTTCATTTGCTACCTGCTGATATTTATTTAGTCTAAAGCTTCCCTGGACATACCCATTTTAATTTCAATTAATCATTGTGACAACACAGGACACTCATTATTAAAAGGTTTAGAGCAATAAATCACAATGTATCTTGTAGCTTTAGGCAGTCCTCTTATTATCTTATATAATCAAGTTAAGCATTATACTCATACTGTTATGCTCTTCTAATAAAATATTAAAGATTTTTTAAATCACTGGAAATAGAAATGTGTTTAAAAACACAATATTAGATAGTGCCTTATTAAAAACTGGCTAAGGCTCGCAGCTTCGTACGCATTAATGTCGAATTTGTCAATCATTTTTTTCGGGATACCTACGTGCTATTCAGGACTAAATTCTACCTCTGTGCCAAATTTTCCAGGATTTCATGAAACATAGCAAAAGCATAATATATATTTAGCTCACGCAGAGGCAGTAAAAAAATATCATAATTATTAACAAGACTCTTTATGTTACGTAAAAGGCGAGCATCATGGCAGATTAACATAGGAATACCTTACACTCAGTTGAGTACCCCCTTCGTATAGGTTGGATCGTCTTGGGCAGCCCATCAGAAAAGTAAAAAAAAAACGATGGCCAGAAATACTCGAGCGTGTAAGATTAATAGTAGGGGAGCACTAGAAGGGATTTCGGGGTTCACTCGAGCGTGTCAGATTAAGATAGGAGGAATACCTTACAACCAGTTGAGTACCTGGACCATACATCAGCCCAACACATGGGGGTTAGCATCTAGGGTAGCCCATCAGATTAGTTTAAAAAAAATTGATGGCCTGAAATACTCATGCGTGTAAGATTATTTAAGTTGAATGGACGATTTGATCGTGACAAAGCAGTGGGAAGGTCACAAAGCTCCAAACATTAAACCATCAAGAAATCTTCTTTAAATGTCTACATAATTTTTCGTGCCTTTATTAGTCATATTTTATAAAAAATCAAAACCAAAAATATTTCTAACCGTTAAATTTAAAATACTCTACAAAATTATCGTCAGATTTTTGGCTAGTATGAGAGGAACATCAAGCTGAACCGTCTGTATAAAATTAAACATGCTCGGGTATTTCGAAATGGCGATTTTTCGAATATGGCTAAGAGCTTGTGGCACTTTAAAATCGGCAGACCTTTCAAAGGGCGCATCTTTCGCGTTCAAATTGTCTGGACAGAGATAGTCTACAGAAATCGTATAAGTAGAGACTACTGGCTACCCAAGAAAACGTTTAAACATATTTATACGTCATTAAATCCATAATTTCTTAGGTAGGTATATATGTATATTAGTACTTAAGTAGTAGTAATGAAGGGGAAGTAGACCTTTCCCACTCCACACTTTAGGTATGAATCTACACGTACACGGCGAACCCAACTTGTGGGGAAAAAAATTCTGAGGAAGAATTACTCTATATTAACACAGATTATCGAAGACCATATAGTACTATCAGTAATACTATCGTGTTACGCTCAGATTAAGGACAATCCACCTTTTTCACATTCCATTAAAACTTACCTCAATCAACACACATTTACTAAAACAATACATGTGATTATACAAAATAACAATACAATTCAGAAAGTTTTTTCTCTCCACAGGAAAAGTATTTAAGTTCTTTTTAACAAAATGTGTTTCCTAGTAGTACATTAACACTGTAATGTATTTTGTGATAGTTTTAAAAATTGAATGGGTATCATAGGTAATAAACTTCTGATGTAAATGTAGAAATGTAGACAAGTGTACTTTAGTTATCAACAATGGGTAATCGCTGTTATTGATTTAAAATGTACCCTACATTTATATGTATATATAGAAATTAGAGTAATTTACCGGATATTCAGCGATAAGATAGCGATAGCTACAGAAATCGAATAAGCAGAGACTTTCATTGAAAAACTCACTCCTATAATAACAATGTCGCTAACCCCCTTATCAACTATGATAAATGTATGACCATGACTGCCTATCTGTTCTTGAAATTTCTATAGATAATATAGGTAATCGTGTAGCGTGTGGTTATTTTTATCATTGCCAATGCTTATTGGGCACATGTCAGGAGATGTGAGAATGTTTCTAGAGAAGCTTACTTTGACAAGAAAGTGCAACTTGGACTCAATTTATATTTTGATTAGCCATTGTCACGCGTCACCTATGAGTAAAACTTCAGGTGTTTCAGGGATGCCCGACTGGTCTTGGTCACTTTTTTAAGCAGGGACACGTCCTGCCAAGAGAGTGTCACGCACGCCTGACTCCGTCATGACAGTTTTAATATTAAATACTGATGAACATTCATGAAAAAAATATTTATCTAATAAAAGAATGCAGTCCAAAAAGCTTATTAGAAAGTTATAAAAAGACACTTTGACTATGTACATGTTTAGATGACACAGGTACTCAGCTGTAGACATGTAGAACAGCGCTAGTTAAGTCTACTTACCTCTGCTATCAATCACTAAGCGGCGACATGCTTAAGAAAAACAATTAATCATGCCGGTTTTGGCTGTTAAATTATGTGGCAATTATGTTGGAAAATGTTTCTAACAAACAGGTAATCTGCTTTTCATTGTTAATTTAGTAATAATTACCAATCATATTTTTTGAGGAAATATGTTTTTAGTTGTATGCATGAAAAATTAAATGGAGATTTTTTAATTTAAGGAGAATGCCCATTCGTTACACTTTAAAACGTGCGAGTCTTTATTTCAAACGTTCGAAAAGCAATTGATTTTAATGTGATTTATAGACCCTGAAGTTCTTCTATAGAACTTAGGGTTTTAAATTAAATCTTACAATGTCTCAAACTTGAATCAATGACCGTTTTCATTTTAAGTTAAATGTTGCCATTATATAAAATAAAGCATTAATGGTTGAATGCAAATAAATATCGTTTTAAAATAAAATAATAATATACGTGATAATAATTCGTTATGTCACATAAAAATATATTGCAGTTACATCTTATTATTTCGTGTATTTAGTCGTAGCTTATTTAGTGAATAAAAAAAACACGATGCCACAAACATTATAAAACAAATAACGTGTCACAATATTTTCTCGTTGTTAATATTTTTACATTGAATTTCTCAATATCAATATAGGTTAATATTTCAGATTTTATTCAAATATAATTAGTTACTTTTTAAATCATTATTTCATTATCCTAAGTATATTTAAAGCAAAAATTCATGACGCATACGAGATGTTTGATATTCTATAATTCTTTAGAGGTTTATTTTTCGCTTTTTAGTGTTTTTAGGTAGTAGTAGGGAGTTTTTATTTGATGCTTTTAGAACGAAGTTCCTTATCACGCTTTACACGCTCTGAGCGTTAGCTCTTAGCTCTTTAATAATAATAGAAATCGGAAAACAAAAATTTTTAACAAAAAAAAACCGACTTCAAAAAACACTATTCCAAAACAAATTAATATGCACTAAAAAGGAAAAAAATAAATGCATATTCTTCTACAACTTAATAATCAACTTACTTTTTCTACTCATCTATATGTAGGTACGATCTATGCGTTAACCGCGCAAGAAGATAGGTAGGTACCTACCCATTTCAAATCTAATTTAACATATACCTGTGAATAACAAACAACGATCAAAATATTTATTTGCGTTCTCCTAAGTAAAATAAAATGAATATAATGTAGTTACAATTATTGTTATTTTTGCAGTCGGTGTCAGCCAAGTCGGTGTCACCTACACCTTATAAGTGAGAAGTGCTTGTGTCGCACGCGCGAGTTGACGAGTCTTAAAGTATTCTCGTAATATTATTGCTAGGTATATCGTAGTGTTTCCTTGGCTGACACCGACTCCAAAAATAACAATAATTGTAACTACATTATATTTATTTTATTTTACTTAGGAGAACGCAAATAAATATTTTGATCGTTGTTTGTTATTCACAGGTATATGTTAAATTAGATTTGAAATGGGTAGGTACCTACCTATCTTCTTGCGCGGTTAACGCATAGATCGTACCTACATATAGATGAGTAGAAAAAGTAAGTTGATTATTAAGTTGTAGAAGAATATGCATTTATTTTTTTCCTTTTTAGTGCATATTAATTTGTTTTGGAATAGTGTTTTTTGAAGTCGGTTTTTTTTTGTTAAAAATTTTTGTTTATTTTTTGCTTTTTAGTGAATCTGAAGTACACTTACTAATTGGTCTGAATATGGGTAGACCTAATAAACGTGCTGCTCAAATGAGACAGCGCCGTTTGAATGAAACAAAGGGAGTCAGGAAGAAACGCCTATCTCAACAGAGGCAATCTACCCTGTGATGACGGATTAAGAATACAGAATGTCACCACCCCTTTTAATCACATGGGTGTCGTAAGAGTCTAGTGAGGGAGCAAACTACGCAGGACAACAGCACTGCAAAGAGAAGGAAAACTTGAAATAAACCCTATACCAACGCGTCTGGCCAGCGTGGTATAGTAGGCCAAAACCCCTTTTCTAAGGAGAGGCCTATGTCCAGCAGTAGCTCATTAAATGCTGTTGATGACGACAATTACTTGACCATAACGACGTTACTGTAGGTGACTCAAATATCCAGATAGCCCATAAAAGATTCAGCCGAGTATCGTTAATTTGCTCCTAAGAATTGAATAGTTCCGTTACTTTGTCGTGAATCCCATCATCAGAATCTAACCAAACTCACATCAAAGTACCCTTAAAGTATATCCATTCCAATAAAAAAAGAATTATCGAAATCGGTTTGCGTGAAATTGAGTTATTCGTCTATTTGTCGCGAACATACTAAATGCAAATTTAAGACTTATATGGTTTTCTCATGGATGCCATTATCAGAACTAAACCAAATTGAAATGGGACCACACGGGAAGCACCAGCTTTCAAATAAAAAAAGAATCATCAAAATCGGTTCACCTAGTCAAAAGTTCTGAGCTAACAAACATAAAAAAAAAAAAAAAAAAAAATACAGTCGAATTGAGAACCTCCTCCTTTTTTTGAAGTCGGTTAAAAAACAGGACTTCGAGAATACAAACGTTTGTTTAGTTCACGCAAGTTTTTTGTAGTGTTGAATTGATATGAATAAAATATAATTTAATATGTAAATTTTATTTAACTCCTTTCTATTTAAATAGGCTTTAAAAAACTATCAGTACAATATGATAGAATACATTAAAAACATTGACCAGTTTTATGCGTTGTCACATAGTAACTGGTCGGGATGCTCGTATCAAGAGTAGCTGGTCCCAAATAAAAACAAATGTCTGGATTTCTGGGTTTCTGCCAAAATAAGGCTATTGAACAAGGTTTATTAACACAGAACTTTATCCGAGCAACCTGCCTTCAGTAACTAAGAACAAAGGAGACTTCGTCTCAGGAAGAAAATATATTTTTTTATGATAGAGAGGGCAAAGGAGCAGACGAGTCACTTGATGGAAAGTGACTACCGACGCCCATGAACGCCTGCAACTTAGAAGCCACAAGCGAGTTGCCGGCCTTTGAGGCAGTACGCTCTTTTCGTGAAGATTTGAAGGTCGTGTCGGACATATGTATTACAAATTGTCCCAAAACGTGCAAGCGGTTTCACCATCTGGAAAATCATTCACTTATCTAGAAGAACCTGTTTATTCAGCCAACAGGCAGTAAACTAGGAAAATTCAACATTTTTAATCAGTTATAGTCAATAGGTATAGTGCGAAAAGGAGTGATTGCCATTACTCGATTTAAATTATAAGCTCGTGTGAAGAGGGTCTATTTTTAACATAGGTACGCACTAATGAATATAAACATTGTTGAATATAAACATTTATCCAATAGAATAGTTCTAGCTAAAAATATCTACACACCATTATTGTACCGGTAGATACTAATTGGATTTGGTGCAATAGTTTATATTTTACATTACTACTATGACAACGTTATTGTAATTGAATATAGATACTGATTATAACTAATTCAAATGCCACACGCAAAATTTCTGCAATATTTGGACTTTATGTCAATAAAGTTTATTCAATTTTAAGGCGATGAAGATAAACGAATGAGTTCGGTGCGTTAACGTTTGGTTGGCCTCATTAGGGTTAGCCCTCATGGGTTTTCATTAGGAAAACAATTAAACGGATGTTAAATGGTAGATGTTGGTAACTTGGTACCTAATAACGAAGTAAGTAATAATGGTGGGTACTCCAAATGACGCATTGGCAAGATACGCCGCTAACTACATTTAACTGTGGGTTGTTAATTAGCTTCAACTGGTTAATTAGTTAGCCTATCCTACCTAGATCTAACATTTAGTGGCTTTAGGTACTTGCTACGCCAATTACTAAGTTTCAAGGAGGTAACCTTTGGGACCGTAACTATGGTTACCTACTAAAACTGTAATTGCGTCTAGGTCTAATCAAAATTTACTTAGCAATTTTGATGGTAGCGTCTGCGACGTTAACTATCTTGTTTATAGCATAGTAGCATATATGTGTACACAAGAATGGTGCCACAATGCGTCATTCACATAATCGAAATCTAATTAGTGTTGAATACACATTTTAAAAATTCGGTTCTGATGTTGTATACTACATTGTGCCATACATCTAGTGTACAGTAAGAGTGGACATTAATCCGATCATATATCAACCTATTTAGCTCGACCTATAACATCGTCACCCTAATAAAACTCCTCATTAAATTACTTTTAAGTGTAGGAGTTCTTGGATAATGAGAGGTAACATTTTAAAACAAGTGACAACATCTAGTTAAATAATGCAAACATTGAGTTGATAAAGAGAATCGCATTCTTAAAATTACGAAGTAGCGTTGATAGCGCAAACAATAATTGAAAGTTACCTTAACAAGGTATCCGTGGGCACGGCTCAAACCAAACAAGGACGGAAGGTGCCGGGCGCCGATAACGGTCACATATAAAGTTTTGTTGATTGGATGCAAGGCCAACTTGAATCCTATCTCCGGTTCCAAGCTGCCACTACCGGCCAACTGCCCATCCTTACTGGTATTTAATAGATTCTTCAGTTTATTAAGTGAAAATGCCATTGTAAACAGTTTTTACGTACTAAAAACGCACTCGCACTTAAAACCGGTTTTTAATTATTAATTAATCACGCAATAGGATTATTTAATAAAAACTTCATCGTTTTACGATGATTCTAATAGTTTGCCAAGCAAAACTTGTTTGTTGACTGTTATCACAACACATCACCAAAAGATTCTCTTTCTGGATCGTAATAAAATTACAACAGTCAACAACACTAACCCTAATCTTTACACACATGCACTACTATTCATAAACCGACTAACCGACCGACTGACGTTTATACTTTGAACGCATAATAATTGGATAGTGTCATTCGGTCTCACCCATCAAATAGGCTAAATGATAGATGTGTTTTGAAAACAATCGGATCTCTCTTTTGTACACATATGTTTCTTCCTAAAACACTAGCGCCACAAAAAATAATATAACAGCATTGCATGCCATCTATTGGCAGTCGTTCTTTTATTGCCGCCTTATAAATAATAGATGGCGTGATAAAATCGATAAACCGATGTCTATTCTTTTCTTCATTGTTTTTATTATAAATGCGTGAGAAATAACAAAACATTGAAGTGATAACTATCTAACACTTATCTAATTTCTCAAAGTTCAGTTTATGTTATTATACAATTCTTTATTTCTCGTAACTATACGATATATAATTTTAAAAATACTAGCTTTTGTCCGAAGCTGGGCCCGCATATATATCGATAATCGCGGTAAAAATTGGCATGTTATTTTTAAAAGTTTTTTGAATTGCCGAGATAATTTTTTAAATCGGTTTAGTGACGTCAAACAAACAAACAAACCCACTTCCACATTTGTAATATGCGAGTAGGTATGGATGATTGTAATTGGTATGGATGATTCTAATTCTGTTTTTGATCGCAAAAACATACAATTTATTTTAACTTGCTTGGCCTGCAGGCTCCATTATGTAAAAGGTGGTACATGCTACTAATGCAAAATAACTACAATATCATTAAAAAAGTTATTTATTAATATGTGACAGTTTAAATTAAAACATTTTCAGTAAATAATATATAAGGGTGGAATAATTGATCTCCATTCTAAACCATAAATTATAATCCATTTTATTTTGAAATGATAATAAGTCAGCCGTATCAAGCCACTGACAACAAATAGTCTTTTAAGCTTCAACAATATTATGGCTAAAAATTAAATATTTACGACTTTGAAAAGACTTTTGTAAAAATCTTGACAATCGAGTCGTAATAATGTATTATGATGGAGACAATCAGAACAAGCATTGCAAAGCAAATTCCTGTAATGTACATGAACTGGCTCGTCACTTGAGGTGTGGCCAACAACTCTTCACTGCTTGCGTCTCGGTCTAATGCGTCGAATTCTGACGTATCTATAACAAAAAAGAAATGCACAATGAAGATTGGTTTAATTACACACAAAGGTTAAAATTTATAACCACAGGAAATATTACGTGCAGTGTGTTGTACTAACTATATATGTATATGTAACTTTCTTCATACAGACTTAAAACTTTAAACCATTGAAAGGCTTGAAATTTATTCTTCATTATAGTGATGTCCCTTTATAATATTTTCGGTGTAAAAATTTGCTTTGTCTGTTACATTACAAAAAGGTAGTATTATTTGGAAGGAAATTTACCTTCAATCAGTTTCTATGTAGTCATTGATTCTTATGAAGCACATTCAATGTGAACCAGAGTGTATCACAGAAATAAGGCAAATTATTTTGAAATTTTATGCTCTCTTCCTAAATTTAAAAAAGAAAAAGGTGTTGTTTTATTATAGGATATATTTGTATTTACCTACAAATTAGGAATGTTTCACCCAACAGACATAGATCAGTGTAAAAATAATTTAATCCAAAGTTTTGGTAGTAGTGAGAATATCATGTCCATACTTATTTAGTAATTACTCTTTGGGTGGATTTGTGGAATGCACTTATCTCCGAAGACTAATAAGTAAAATATTTAAAGATTTGGTGTTCTACGACATTACAGATCGTCTTCAAGAACGACACTAAAAAATTTACTTTATTTCTTCAATCTATCTGATAACTCGCGTACTTTATACAGTTATATTTTATTTTTTTATTTAGCGTTCACGTTTTTCTTAAGCAGCGTCAAGTTACAAGTCGGCACTTCCCTACTAATGACATAGTAATTGCAAAATTCCATTTTTAATTTACTAATTACCAGAAGTAATGATTAGATTGGTTGTTCATGTTCTTTAGTTTCAGTTGTAAAGACAACGCTGTGTGGATTAAATCTTGTCATTAAAACTATGAAGTCATGCAAATAATGTGATATTGTTAATAATTAAAAGTGATATTTACCAGCAGGCGTCTCAAGATCGCAAACTACATCAGTTTCAGTAATCTGCAAATCAAGAAGTTCTCGTACTGAGAGCAGAGCTTCAGCTGGGGCCTCACCCGGGAACAAATAGTCACATAGGTACAGAGAACCTACTGGAACGAGAACTCGACGCGGTGGCTCGTTGAAACACACTTTTTCTAAGGTCAAGAAAAGAATTATTGTCAATATTACTTAAGGATAGTTCCATTGTGTTCAGAAATCTTTTTAACCAAGTAAACTGGTTTTGGAAAAGGCATCAATAAATCTCAAAATCAAGTCACATAGGTAACATTGACTACACACAATCTTAAAACCTTTGTAGTGCGTAGTAATAATTAGAGATACCACGAATACTCGGCAACTATTCGGTATTCGGCCATTTTTTCGACTATTCGGTGTTCGGCCGAATATTCCGGACTATTCAGCCACACACCGAATATTAAATTACGAAAAAAAGGATGCATAATATTACTTACAAAGATTTTACCAATATCTTATCATAATAATACATAAAACATTTTTTTCAGCATTTGTTGATAGGAAACGATCCCTTATCCTCATAAATTATACCTGCTTCTGAAATAACTGCTCACTGTATATACTGCTTCCAGGACATGATAAATAAATCTTAGTAAATTCTGTTAGGTTAGGATATTGTTTTACGTTTGCTGACCCTTTTACTGATTAAGGTTAAGTCCGCGAAAAGTACTTGTGTTGCTGAATATTTGTCTGCCAAATATTCGGCGCTCCAGCCAAGAGACTCGCCGAATAATAGTTATTCGGTACTCGGCCAAATCACTATTCGTTGCATCTCTAGTAATAAGTTAAGTACCAAAGAAGTGATAGTAAATTACACATTGTAATGTTGAAAAAGTAGACATTACCGTTTAGTGTAAACCATGCCAATGACAAAAATAAAATTAGGAGTCGTCACCATTTAGTAAATTAAATCTAAGAAAAAAAACCTAGACTTGATGTGCTGATGATGCTTTTGCAAAAACAAATTATTCTATTTTAAATAGCGGATGCGCCCTACAACTAATTTTATGTACCATGTCGAAATCTATACAGAAGGTATAGGTGTATAACTGTGACATTTTTTTTAGTCACTACAGTGGAGGACATGCTACACTAATCTATATTATTAAACTAGCGTTTATGAAAATTAGGATAGGATCAAATATGGGTATATTTAATCCTATCCTATTTTAGCACATATTTAAACTTCGTACACCTTAAATTAAAAATGTTACAATTATTTTATTTAAAACTTTGTAAATAATTACAAAGAAATAATTACCAAATGTAAATACACAAAAAGTTAAGGATTTTTTTTTTGTGACCAAATTTTTACGCAAGCCTAGTTACAATAGTTTTTCCCGGCAAACAGAATGGACAACGGTATCCAGACGGTAATGTTTAAGAAGGCATTTTTGAGATGAAATTTTAATAACATCTTGTATTGTTTAGTCTAACCTTCTGGCAATAAGTTATCATCAATGAGCGCATCACAGTGCATTGTGAACCGTGAGGCCAAAGACCTTACAATATCTTGTTTTACAGCTGCTATAGCTTCACTGACTGTTGCTTTTGGATACATGAACACGCTGGAGGACACGATTCCACTGAAATGTATGCTTCCATCACACTCTAAATACTCCACAGTCTCAGGCATTGCATTTTCCTAAAAAATATAAGTATGTAATTTTAGCATGTTTCACTTTGCTTAAAAATATAATTTGAAGTAGTCATGGTAGAAGGTAGTTGTAAATTTGGCATTAATTTAACTGACAGGAGAATTTGAAATTTAGAATATGTAGAGTACACAATAATATATAAAATTTAAGATTTTTAAACAATTGTGATAATGTTTACAAAAAGCTACAGTTGTGGTGTAAAGAGTCCATACAATGACAATTTCAACTAATATTGGTAGTGCTAATTTTAATGAAAGCCTTTTAAAATGGTAAAAGTGAAAAAAAAAAATAGTAGGATGAAACCCGTTAAAAACGGAAGAGAATATAACAAAAAAAATTACGGGTGATCCGAGGTCGGGCAGTGGAAGGGGTGAGTTACATTTTAAAGTGTGGCACAACAATAATATATGTATGGTGAACTACTCACAAAAGGAAGAAATATGGAGATATTCATTGACTTTGGAGGCTCTTGCTGTACTGTCTTTAAATTGTTTTTAGATTTTTTCTTTTTGTAAAGCTGTTCTAATAGTTCTGATCCATCTTTGAGCTCACCATCTATGAATATAATACTCGATTCAATGGTTTTGTGAGCTGACTCCAAAATTTGCTGAAACGTAAATGTGTTTCAATGAATAATATAATATTAGTTATAATAATAGGGGTTATTGTTTGTGAAATTGCCGTTGTATAGTAAAAGATACTTTGCATAAAACCTTCATGGTGTGAGATTTTAGTGTAAAACTTTTCTCACATGAAACCTATGAGATTCTTCTTTTGAAAAATGTGCAATATTTATATTGATACTTACAATATTGAACTTGGACGTGAAAGATGGATACTTCGAAAATTAGAGGCATTTTTGAATACGAGTTCCGCGGAACTAACGCGACAGAAACGGCTCGATTGCCTTATTGAATCGGTACAGAAATAAAGGAATATTTTATCGAATTGTGACATGTGACAAAAAGAGGATTGTTTACGATAACCGTAAGCGAAAAATGCAACGGGTGACCCTCAGGTCAAACGCCGCAACAGTGCCTTAAAGCAACGCTGGCCAATAAAAAGACAATGGTAACTGTTTGGTGGTCTCTTCATGGTGTTATTCACTATAGCTTTCTCAGGTCTGGTCAAGCAATAACAACAGATGTTTAGAACGATGAACTTCGAACAATGATGGGGAAACTGGCAGTGAAACGCAAGACCTCACACCGCACGAGAAACCGTTGTAACTCTACAGGAGCTGCAGTTAGAAACCATACGTCATCCTCCGTACTCGCCAGACCTTACTCCGTACTACCATTTTTTTCGTTATTTGGACAATTTTCTACATGATAAGACATTTCATTCCAGGTGGCAGTACAAAATGCCTACACCCAGTTTGTTGAATCTAGATCCTCAGAATTCCATTGTAAAGGCTTAAATGAACTTCCGTTTATATGGCAGCAATGTATAGATAATGAGGGTAAATATTTTGATTAAATAAATATACATTTCAATTCAGTACAAATCGGCAATTTCATACTTCAACCCCTAATGTATACATATATATTTATAATAAATCATTAAAAAAAATTGAACCAACTGGAAACAATACTGACAAAGAGCACTAAAACTTAAAAAAATAATTACAAGTCTAAGTAAAAATTATTTAATAAGTACCCTCAATATAACAGATAACATTATAATAGCAATAGGGACATATTATACTATATATACTATGAAGACTGTTGCAGCTGCCGCACTACATTTTCCCAAGCCTACCAAGCACCTATTTGCCTTGGCACCAACTTCAAACAGACTAGAAAAAAAGACAGAAAAAGAAAAGACCCTTTTGATTATAAAATAATTTTAAAATAAAAAATATATTTGTCAAATTGGTTTAAAAATGAAAGAGTTTTGAGGTAGCAAACATGAAAATAATTACAAAAATTTATAAAAATGGTTACAAACTTTTTTTTGTCTAAATGTCTCTCATTTATTATTCTGGTGTACACATATCTCTGTAACCCCACACAAACACCAGACAAATATCTTGGAAGAATAAAACAAGGTCAATACATGATTAGATTTTGAAAGAGTATTTTCTAACTCCTAAACGTCAAGGATCCTTCCATTATCAGCTCAGAAACATGACATAATGACTACTAAATGTAAAAACCTATAAACCTAGAGAAATAACCTAAAACATGTTGTTGGGGCTATAAAATTTTAGGGTTTCCCTCGATTCCTCTAGGATTCCATCATCAGATCTTGATTTTGGTGATAATGGGACCACCTCGGAAGCATACCCTTTCGATTACAAAAATAACTTTAAAAATCAGTCCACTATTGACAGAGGTATCACTTCACAAACATACAAAAAAAAACAGATGAATTGATAACCTCCTCTTTTGTGTTTTTGAAGTCAGTTAAAAAGAAACAGTAAATTACCTACAAGAACCAGCACAATAGCATGAAACTAATAAATAAATTTGAGAATCAGGTGGAGGGGGTGGGTAAAGACCATTTTTCTATGAAGCCATGGTGTCACTCCCGTCAAGCCAGCCCATGTGTACCTTAGCATAGCTCTCTCACAAAATACATGTGAATTTAATTTAGAGGGATTGATGAGAATAATAGTAACAATGACAAATAGTTACTTAGCCTGTCCCATACATCAGTAATGTATTTCTTACCTTTATCAGACTCTAGACAAGTTTGGACTCTTTTACTACTTGCAAAGATATAATATAAACTTATAATAATCACTATTTTAGGAGATCAATAAAATAGTCTACCTGAAATTGTTGCTTCACAGAAATGCCGCAATTTTTAACAATAACAGGGTAGACATCATCAAATTCATAATAGCAATCAAGTCTTTGCCATTGCTGAGGTTTAGGCAAAAATTTCCATTCAACTGGCTTTATCACTGTGCTTTTACTCCCTGTCCCCACTTCAACAGACTTACAATTAAGAACCTTTGTGCTTGTAGACATATGCAAAACGAGTCTTTCATTATTGTATGGACAATTGCCATACATATACTGATTGATATTCTGCGCCTTGTATACATGGTTCAATATTGATTTCACTTTGCTGAAGCAGTTTGGATCTTCAAATACATCTTCTTCACTTGTAACAAATATACCTAAAAAATTTGTGATAGATATTGAGAAGATGTATTTCACTAGTTTTGACAAAATGTTAAGAAAATAAGTGTTACCTTGCACAAACATGCCACCAGGAAGCATTCTGGTAACATGTTTAGCATGGTCAGCTACCCATGCTTCTGATACAGTCAGTAACGTTCTTACTGTCTCAACTTGATTCGGCATGTCCACACTATATGTGTTTTCTGATACGTTGTCAACTTGTTTTTCCTCCGGTGTCCTAGCCAGATGGATAACATTGTCTCGTGCATTAGTCGTCTGAAATTAAAAGGACAATTTTTTAACGTCGGGTATAACATCTTTATTAAACATCAATAACTTACCTGGCCAAGAATAAGTCCTATTACGAAAACTTCTTTTGAAGCATACTGTTCTAAGTATTGCAGACAATATTCCGGGGAATAAACACTTCGAACCATTTTAAATAAATAAGTTTAATTTAAGTCATAAGCAGTTTCAGCACTTCCCGATTCTTAGTTTTAATGCTTCCTTCAATTTAATTTTAATTTATTATGTGCAAGATTTGTTTTGTCGTGTCCAGTCGTGTCACATTCACATTACATTACACTCAGTACTCAGTACATAACTCTCTATGGTATTGTCATTTTGTCATATATTTTTTGTGCTACTGTCATAAGTATGTCTGTCACACTACGAAATCGATTGACGTGATCGATACTTGTTAAATGAAAACGAATTCATCATCATGAAAACAAAAGAAATCTCTTAGTATTATTTTTTGAACTTTCATTTTTGTAGTGAGAAAATGAATATAAACTTTTAACTTGCAAAAGAGTCACCCTTTTTCTTTCTTTCGTAACTTGGAAAGTTTACACATTACAAGAACCAACAACTAAGGATTGTTTTTTATTCAACATTTAAATATAAAACTCAACAGAATATATTATTGGGGATTACACTATACTCTACATTGTACTATTTTGTTGGTTGGGATATTATTGTTCTGTGGTCACTAATATCCAACTGCCAGCTATTTAGCCCTTATTTTGAGCTGACAGATTGGGTTCTTGATTTTATCTATCGTAAATTTCTTTCTTTCTTTTTAGATAGTAATTTGCTTAAAAGTAAGTAGACCATTGATAAATCGTTTGTAGAGAGAACAAACAAAATGGTACATTGCTGTTAAATTAGAAATATTTAGATATTTAAAGAAAGAAAGCAATAAAGACTAACCCCAAATAAAAAATTACAAACAAAACTTAGTCAATTGTTATAAAATACTATTACCGATACTTCAGTTGACACACTTTTACCCGCTATGGATGTAAGTTAGAACGAAGTTCGTACTACGAACTTCTTCTCTTCTTGTTGACAGATACAAATAAGAAATAATGAAAGGAACTGCCTAATTTCTTGTTTAAATCTAAATTGTTTAAAAGCATCTCGACAAATGTTGTTGTTTGTTCTGTGTCTGGGTGTAATTTATCTCTGGTTCCCCGGCAATTAGTACCCGAGACGGCACCGAGCACGTCCCAGCCTGCAGATATTAAAATTTCAAAATAAAAAAAATCCCATTTTATAGATCTTAATTAGCCCTTTCGACCTACGTTAATTAATTTATAAGCCCCTTTTTCGTTTTCCCAGGAAAAATAGAAATATAATTTTCAATTTACCTCTACTTAAAATAGCCATATCTCTTTGAAAAATGATTATTTTTTACTCTACCAAGCGTAAAAAAATTGCCCTTGCGCTAATTTAATTTGCCCGCGTGCTAATTCCTAAAAATATTCAATAATGAATATTGTAAACAGTAAAAAACCGTCGTGGCATTTCCAAGAAAATTATGCGCATGCGCGACAGAATCAGACAGAAATCAGCTGATGCTACACGCACGGAAGGACTTTAAAAGTTATTATATTACTGTTTCGTTTTAAAAAAGTAAGTTTTAAATATACAAGCCCAACAGAATCGCTCAAATCTTTATGTAAAATAATTGAATAACTCGTTTTTGCATTTACGCTTGTTTTTTCCAGACAGAGACTGATTACAATGGGTCCCATAGTCAAAAAAAAAGTAAGATGACTCCAAAATTAATGAAGAAGAAACTTACCAACTACTTTGACAGAAATATTTAGTAGTGCATGTTGTAAAGTGATTGATTTTAGAAGCTTTATAGAACGCAGTCAAAATGATGTGAAAGCAAAAAAATATTCATGCTATGCGAGTACAGTATTTAAACACTCAATATCTGGTGTGAATACGGTACTGTATACAAATAGATCACACATACTATATTCGTTGTTCAAACCAGACTGTAATATTGTTAATTGTAATGTTAATATCAGTCAACTTCTTGAATTACTGATGGGCGAATATGAAAGTACTGTTGAAAAAGTTACATGTCAAGATTGTGGACACATGAATAAATCCAAAAAAATAACAACCTTTTTACCAAATTATCGATGGTTACGAAATTATCAAAACCTTGAGAAAGAAGAAATAAACAGATTTTTTCAAGACAAAATTCACAACTGTTATAATTGCCATAAAAGAACTGGATTATATACCTACGCACTCTATGGGGCCGTATCTATGGATTGATACTGATGAAGTATATAGAAAATCCACATATGCACAGGACGAGTTAAAAATAGATGCAGAAAACTTCGATACTGATTTGAATGACATACCACAAAGATTGTCAATAAAAGATGAAACTTTTGTGTTATGCGGTGTAGCAAAATATGTTCCTCCATTAGATTCTAACGGAATGGGTCACTACGTAGCATGCTGTTTAACAAATTATAACTAGGTGGAAAGAAATGATTTAGTTAAATACAAAAAAAAAATATCACTTCATCCATCAAAAATCAAAATAAGTGGCATATTATATGTCAAAAGTGTGCATTTAAAATAATCTAACCTCTTAAGGAGAGGCCTATGTCCAGCAGTGGACTATCAAAGGCTGTTGATGTGTGATGTGTAACCTCTTGCACAAGAAAAAAATGCAGAAGCAAGACTTTCTATTAAGCGTTTTAAGACTTTATAAAGTAAACTTCCAAGCCAAGAGGAAGCAGCTAACTATTTTAATAGGTGTTATTGACTAGTCACGGAATCATGGAGATTTCATCTTTCTGCTGATTTGCTCCAAAATTATATAGTACGTGTTGATTGGGCCTGTTTAAGCATACATACATTTAAAAAAAAAGAAAGAAATGTAAATATTTATTAATAAAATAGCTAAGTATGTTTTTTGGTTTATTTCTTTGTTTCAGTTCTTGAAAATTTTAATTATAAATTTACACATACACATCAAACTACCAAAGGCACATAACAATGAATCCAATAGTACTGAAAAACTTCCCGAAACAGTAATATAATAACTTTTAAAGTCCTTCCGTGCGTGTAGCATCAGCTGATTTCTGTCTGATTCTGTCGCGCATGCGCATAATTGGCTTGGAAATGCCAGGACGGTTTTTTACTGTTTACAATATTAATTATTGAATATTTTTAAGAATTAGCACGCGGGCAAATTAAATTAGCGCAAGGGCAATTTTTTTACGCTTGGTAGAGTAAAAAATAATCATTTTTCAAAGAGATATGGCTATTTTAAGTAGAGGAAAATTGAAAATTATATTTCTATTTTTCCTGAGAAAACGAAAAAACGGCTTATAAATTAATTAACGTAGGTCGAAAGGGCTAATTGAGATCTATAAAATGAGATTTTTTTTATTTTGAAATTTTAATATCTGCAGGCTGGAACGTGCCCGGTCGAGACGGTGTGCGGTTTTAGTCGGTTCGAGACCGACATGCCACCGATAGGTGGTATCCGAGGGGATTTCCGCACGAAAAAAAAATTGGGTGTAATTTATCTACAATATGTATACATTTAGAAATATATACATATACACGGTGATTTTATAGGCGTTTTGGAAACGAAAAATGGTTAAATCAATTGTAATGTTGACTAAAAAAAAGTTTCAGTTCTAATATTCATTTTTACTCGATCGACTTGGAAAGTAGTAATGCACTGCTCATTCGTTCATTATCTTATAATGAAACACGTCCGTATGCGTTTCGGCGGCCGCTGCGCACCGCTGACGCTAACAGCATCTAATAAAGTATACCTATAGGCGCGAGCTAGCGAGTACTTACGTAGATAGACTCCAGTTTGTCCTTCATACTTTACACGGGCTTAGGATCGTCGGAAATACCTATTTTATTTAAACTTCTTTTCGATTATTAACCACGATTGTTCTTTTCACAACAAATCAATTTATCAACGGACTGTAGGTATAAATAATTCAGGCGTATTTAAAAAATCAGAGCTATCTACAGAATAATTAACTTACATACCTATTTACAGTTTATTTACACTATTTACACTTCTCTGAAGCAACTGCTCAAATAGGAGTCCGCTGCGTTCAATACACAAACGTCCAAGTTTAATGGAATTGTTTTTTAATTTTCTTAATGTGTCTCTATCACTTTTCACTTTATCAAAAGCGTTCACTATCGCAATGCGTAAATCATCACGGCTTTCATATTCCCGTGTATAAACAAGTGTTTAATTTCCGACCATAAGAAAAAATCCAGGGGCTTTAAGTCCGGGCTTCTAGGTGGCCAAGGCACAGGCCCTCCTCGACCTATCCACCGATCACTAAACTCATTGTCTAGATATGCACGCACTACACTCGCGTAATGAGCGGGACAGCCGTCGTGTTGGTAGTACATACCTCTCGAGTAAGCTAACGGCACATCGTCTACTAACTCAGATATTACTGTCCTTAACATCTCTAAGTACGAGTTGCCGGTTAGATGACCTTCAATAAAAATAGGCCCTATTAATTGGTCGTTAATAATACCGGCCCAAACGTTCACACTGAAACGAACCTGGTGATGGTTTTCTCGTATCAAGTGGGGGTTAGTTAGAGCCCAGTAATGCTCATTCTGCACATTGTATAGACCCACTCGAGTAAACAGTGACTCGTCGGTCCAGAGTATGTTGGCGTTTGTATTATTTAAAAACCACTGGTAAAAGGCGATTCTTTGCGGTGCGTCAGTGTTGTTTATTACGTGAGCCTTATGAAAATGATACGGATGCAATCCTTGTGTACGTAATATCTTCCATACGAAGTTTTGGCTAACATCGAATTCTCGTGCTGCCATCCTTGTGCTCCGCCGGGGATCGCGCTCGAAGTACTCAAGAACATCTTCTTCAAACTCCGGCGAATAATAATTTAAACGTCCTTGACCTTGCGCATGAGTAGGCGCACGAAATTGTCCGTGGTCGAGAAGACGTTGGGTTGCAGCCAAGATGGTAGGTGTGGAGGGAATTTGAGAGCTTTCAATTTCACGTAGCCGTAGTGCATTTAAATGCTCCGGCTGGGAATACAAACGCCGAGCCTCTTCCAAGTTGTAATTGGCAGTAGCGTACAGCTATACCATTGCCAAGTAC